AATGAGTAGATTAACACAAACAGGTCCCACCTGTGAGCCCTGGCTGTGCCCTGGGATTGGGGTATCATCCATCCTCGGCACGGCTCCATCAAGGAGAGGGTGCATTATGTAGGTTCAAGTACAAGATTGGTTCATCAGTTTAGTAAGGTTTTAATTGCCTCTTGCTCTGCAATGAGCAAACTGGAAGATGCTATAAGGTTCACTTAACAGGTGGCCTGTGTTTCCTAAAGTTCCTTAAATATAGTGAGGGTTTTCTTGATTTATGTTGCTTGGCATGGAACTAGATTAACAATATCATTTCACAGTTCTTGGAAGGGTGCAATCTTGTTTTCAGTGGGATAGCACCATCTGGTAAAATCAAGCAGCCATACTTTCATTTCAAGTCTTTTGAAAGTTAAGGAAATTATTCTCATTTGTTGTAGAATTGCCTTCACTGTAAATTAAAAAAAAAAAATTATCCTCTGCCCTTCCTCCTTGATTTAAAAGATTATTTTTTTTTTGTCCTTCTAATGTCATTCTACAGACTCTGAGTTCCTGATAAAACTGTCAGACTCTGTCTTTTAGCTCAAAGTTCAGTTGGTTTTTGGATGCCCTTAGGTCCAAACTGCCCTTTACATGGAATTTTTATTGTTCATCGCCTATTATTGGGGGAATTATTTTGCAAACAGACCAATTCACTTGCTTCAAGCTCTGAAACCTGCCAGGCTAGCTTTTATTCCGATTGCTTCTGATAAGGAGCTTTGGTAAGAATGCTGTGCCTCCAGCAGGTTGAGAGACTCACCTTGGAGGGGAGCAGCTTCAGGGTCCCAGGGAACGCGCGTGGCTCTTTCAGCTCCTCATGAAAAGGGAAACGAGGTGTTGAAAATCAGAATCAAAACTTTGAATTAGATGTGGGACTGCACCACGAGCCAGTGGAAATGGCCTGTGGTGTAAGCGGAGGCTTTTTTTTTCCTGCATGATGATGAGCTGAAGTTCATTGCAAGAGCTGGAGTTGTGCTTTGTCTCCCCCATGACCACAGGAAGGTAGGGAACCCCCAGACACTGTGCCGATGGGGAGCCACACAAGATGTGCAAACCTCGGCGAGACCCTTTGCCTCTTTTCTGTTGCTTGTGTGCAAGCCTGCTCTGCCTGGGATGCTGACCAGACAGTCAGTGATCTCTGTGCTATGGGAATGAGAAGATCTGGTGGGTGATGTGGAGTCACGCTGATGAGGCATCTCGGTGACCATACTCTGAAGCAATTTTATTGTCTGTCCTGACCCTTCTAAAAAAATTTTAAAAAGACAGCATTTTAGAAGACACATATTATACTTTTCCTCAGTGCAAGCTGCCTGTTAGTAGGACACAGTATAATTATGCAGCGAGCAAGGAGATGCTTAAAGGACAATTTTCTCCTTTTAAGACCTATGCAAGGAAAGTCTTTTCAGCGCTTTTACATAATGCAAGTATTAATTAGTTTTGCTATAATTCCAGTTCAAAGAGCTAACAGGAAGTGAATGTTTTTCTGTATTGTCCCTAGTGTTGTCTATAGAGCTTCCATAAGAAGTGTCTGCCCATCAGGCAGAGAGCAGAGCCTCCTGGAGAAACTCTTCTTCCACAGAAGCTCATCGAGTGGACTATCATGTGCAAAAGGCAGAGGAGGGGAGGCTGCGTTTCAGTGCAGCTGATCAAACCAAGGGTTCAAACGTTCCTAGAGCATTTTTCTAAATTCTGTGTGCAGACTTTGTTGTGCTGCTTATGGGAGTAACATTAAAAGCCAAGCTTCGGACCCCCTTTTGTGTTCACGTAAGGTGTCACAGAACGAAGGCATTTGTTCCTTTGCACAGAAGTTCTCTTCTGTAGCAAGTCTGTTCAGTTCTTCCTTTTCTTTCCAACGGTGTGAGCTTACTGAGGGTTTGGTTTGTTTTTTGTTGTTTTTTTTTTTTTTTACCTCCTTCCCAGGGAAGGATAGCTTTCCAACTAACACAGAGAGTTCTGTTTTCTCTATTAAAAACAACTACCCTGAAGTGGAGTAGGCTTTGTATTTTGTCCTGGAAACAGAGCGTTTCATTCAGAGATAAGACCTCTCCGCGTTGAGGTTCCTGCAGTCACCTGACAGAGCCCTTGGTAACTTTTAGGCTGCTTTAGCCTGCATTCCTGAGATGCCTTACTGCTGGCACGGCAATTAACAGCTTCGGGTTCACTGCCTCGTGCCACCAGCCTCCCGCTGCCGGTGCCCTGGGATGCTGCCTGGGGTGGCAGGAGGGCAGAGTGGCCAGGCTTGGCTTCCGAGAACAACCTTTGCACCTCTGACCGTCGTTGAGGATGTCATTGTGGGATCGGGAGCAGGTAAAAAAAAAAAAAATCAGTTTGTGTCTGCGGCTTTTTGAACTTGTAGTTGTGAATTTGGGAGTTGCTGAGTATAAGCACGATGGGGCCAGTCTCTGCTCTGCTTACATCGTCACCTTCGGTTTGGTGACTGGTGATTTGTGCCATAGCCACCGTCAGGAGGATCCAGCCTGCTGTGCTTCGGGGTTTGCAAGCCTATTAGCTCTTTTCTACTTCTGGCTTGCTGCAAATAATCAAACTAAAAGTCCTGTGTAATGATATTGACAGATTTGAGAAAATTAACAAAAACTTATGATCAGGCTTATGGCAGATCAAGTGTAAGGTGCTGTCTATGCTATTATAGTAAAGATTGTTTCATTATTTCCAGAAGATTCTCAGTGTTTTGCATTGGCTTAGCCCCTTATTTGACATTTTGCTTTTTTTTTTTTTCCTGAAAAATACCATAAAATAAAGTAACAGGGAGTAAGGATACTCTGTATCTCAGATAATAATTATAGGCAATCTAGTTGGTGACAACACAGTACGTTGTCCATCAACGCAAGAGAAGAACCTAGAGGAGTTGGCCATGAATCCACATTGGGCCACCTGGAGGACAAGCTTGGTAGATCTCTTCCCAGCCTCAAAATCAGTAATTATTCTGTATTAGATGAATAAGTGAAGACAGGGAAAGTGCTGGTTTGTGACATAATGTTTGTGTTTTAATACATGTTCTCATGTCAGTCTATGCCTAGGTTAGATACACATCTGCACAGAGCGTCCCGCAGGCCATGGCGTGCTCCAGCGGGCAGGTCCAGGTGGTGAATAGCCCATTTTCCATAAGATTCCTTCTTCTCTTATATTCAGTTAATATATGTCAACTTTAAGACATTTCTCTTTCCTCTGTATAAAGGGAAATTTTTGTCATTGGAAACACAGACCAGGTCATTTAAGCCACGTGCACAAGCGAAAGCAGACTGATCCGGTTCTAGCAGCTGCTTTTCCTGTGCATAACATTTGAAGATTACTCGTTTATTCAAGAGTTTGAGTTCTGTATTTAGTGTATGCCTACCTTGATGTCATAATTTTGTCAGCTCTTTGTGTGTCTTTTGTATTCCTGCAAAGACAGATGATAAGAGCTAAACTTTGTTTAAATTGTTGTATACCTAAATGTAAAGGACATACATATATATTTTATGAATGTCTTTTACATTTAAGTATGTTTACTTCAATTCAGAAAGAAATTTTGATTCACAAAAAGCAACGAACAACAGCCTACTCTGCCATTTCTCTGAATGATGCTGTCTTTGTCTCCACACTCTTCATTATGGAGAAGATATCAATGATGTAGGAGACGATGGTGTTGAAGGAGTGAGGATGATCATGGTTCCATTTGTAACCTCTGCTTTCATATGCATCCGAGCTTCCTCAGGGCCATGCACTATGTGTCTGTGTCCCTTTGGCTGGCAGAAGCTCGGTGTGGCTGCTGTGAGTGGTGGTGAATGTCCTCGGTGTGGTTCATGCCCTTCTCAGCAGGGTCTCCAACATCAGGCTCTTCCATTGCCCTGCGTCCCTTGCAGATCTGCCTCAAGCAGCCCGTGGAGGGCCCCACTCTTAGGGCTGCTCTTTGGGGCTGAGAAACTGCGGCTTGCTGGTCATCATCCTGAATAGTGTTGGTGGGAAAGGATGGAAGACATGTAGTAGAATTGGGAGCTGAGGGTGGAGAGACTGTCCTTGTCCTGTTCCTACTGGTAGGGCCACCATGGAGACCCTTGGAAGGTTCCAAGACACTTTGTGCCTGGATGGATTTGTACCTGCCTTGGCAAAGTCTGAGGAGGGTGTCCAAGCCCCGTAGGCTGTTCTGGGCCTGGAGGACCCTGTGCTGTTGGTCCCTTCCTCCTGTGCACCGAGGTTGGCCATGAAGACCTACGGTTCGAAGGTGCACAAGCAGAGGGACCCACAGCCCGAGGCACAGTCCTGGCAGTCTTGGAATCACAAATAGCCCTTCCAAAATATGGAAAAAAACAAACTTCTGCTATAATTAAGGCAATTGTCTCCTCTGCAGGTGTTTTAAACACCAGAGTTTTGGGGCACAAGTGCAGGACCAGGCTCTTTCATGAGCCTGTGCGTGGTGCTGAGCCCAGCCCCACTTGGCTCCGCTTCCATTAAATTCCCCAGCCAAGAAGTGCGTGGTGCCAGCTCAGCCAAATGTTTGGTTTACAGGAGTTGAGAAGACTGCAAGGATCATTCTGGCAACAAAACTGTTTTTCTAAACAATAATAATTTCTGGAGTTGAGACACAACAAACTAGAAAACAAATGGAAGGGCTTCACCCGCCGCCTCTGCCACTGCCCGCAGGAAGGCGGGTTGTCATCGGTTAGTCCAGCCACCATCCTGCTCGGGTGATATGCATTGAAAGGACAAAAACTTGTTCTTATTTATTAAAACTTATATATTGTTTATCAAGTTTTAAGCTACTTAGTGTTTGAGGGCAAAAGGTCCTTCAACATGCAGTTAATTTTTTGTTTTCTTTTCTTTTAGATTGAGACCAAGGAAGTCTTGAAATATGCCCTGGATTTATTCTCCATATTCATCTGATTGCTGGTCCCCAGGATTGTTTCTGTTCTGTCCCCAGAGTCACTCATGCCCCTGGTGCATGCAGAGGTCCGGCTGAGCGGCAGCGAGCGGGCGCAGCCATGCATCATCTGTTTGGGCTGGTTTTGTCACAAAAGGACCTTTCCCGTGCAGGGGATCTTTTCTCCTTAGAGGATGCTGAAATCGAGGGAAGCCTCTCAGAAGCTCTTGAACAAATAAGAATAATTAGTTCATCTGTGGTAAGTGAAACACTGTGCTTCATCGTTTTTCATGAACTTAAATTTATTGTATAAATAAAACATTGAAGACAGGGACACACACAATTTAAGTTTCTATGAAAACTCAAGAATGGCAAGCAAAGTGTAAGATTTAAAAATCCAGTTCCCACTAGCTGGATTTCCATTAAAGATATTTCAAGTTGATCTTTATCATTATTTTTATTAAAAAATTAAGGCATATTAAAGATTAACAGGAGGTTTCAGGTATACCGTGTGTATTCTGTTTGCAGCAGAAAGTGTTCTGAATGACGGCAGGCTCACTGGTTTTGGTAAACCTGGTAATATTGCTGTCAAAAAAAAAAACCCAAAACCTCTTTATCCTTTGTTTCCAGTCCGCTGAAGGGAAGGGAGAATGTTTTTTGAGCCTCAGGATATTCCATTAGCAACACGTACATGTTCTCAGCTCTTTTCTGGCACTCCATACAGCATGTGATTTTAGAAATCAGTTTTGGCAACGTGCAAACCTCTGACTCTCGGAGCATTGATCACGGTGTTGCTGGTCGCAACAAGAGCTGACTCATCCATCAGGCCAGGCAATTACATCTGCACAGCCTTTCAGAACATTAATCACAGTATTTTGGCCATTGCCTCTGCTGTTTGTGATGTACTTTAACTCACCTAACCGCAGATTATCAGGAATTTTACACAAATTCCTCCTAATCTACTTTTTGAGAGAAAATACCTGATTTCACTCCCAAATGTCTTTTACAAGCACACCAGCCTGCACTTAGCAGCTAAAGCATCCCGCAGCATCCCGCCTCTGAGCTGCGGAGCTGTTCCCAGCAGAGGGCTCTGGAGACAGGGGGGCTGCTCCAGCGCTGTCCTGGCACTCCAGGTTTGGCTGAGAGGTGTGTGTGTTTTTCCCCAAATATGAGGAATTTCACAGCAGTGTGGACAGGACCGCTCTGTTCTCCGTGTCCACGCACAGCCAGCGACTGTGACCCTCGCCAGAGGTTTGCTCTGGCGCCGTCCTTGCTCGCCTCGTTATCAGTAGGTGACCTTAAACAAAAGAAGCGTTTTCTTGTTTTAATAAGCACTTGGATTTTTCTGTCATGCCAAGCAAAGCTTGTAGAGGGCCAGCTGTGAATAAATGCAGTGAATTGCTTCGGGACAGACACAAATGTTGTGGGTTCTGCTGGTGATACGCTGTCACACCCCCTGCGGCGCAGAGACCCCCGGAGCTCGCTCGGGAGCTGCACCTCTGCAAGTGGGTGCTGGGCTTGGCTCCAGCCCTTTAAAAATGATGGTGCTTCATTGAGGAAAACCAGTGAGTTTGGATGAATGCTTCAGCCTGCTTTTCATCTTAATTACTTTTTAGGGTGGAACAGCACAGGTTAGACAGAGGGATGGTGTCTGTGCATTCTGAGTCTTTTATTTATGGTGAAGCACTGCCATTTCCTAGCCACGTGGCATCTGTGTCAGGAGTTATGGGGGATTATGGGATTTTGTGATAAAGTCTATTTAATTAACTTTTATTCATTTTACATTGATGATAATTGAAACTGCGTTTACATCAGGGACTTGACAAGGTGTGAAATATTTGGGAGCCTGCATTTCGCCATAGATATTGCAGATGTAACAATTCCAGTTCCAGTTTTGGGATGGTTGTGGGAGAAGGAGCCTGTGCGAGTGGTTCTGAGGTGTGCGGCTGCATTTGCTGGTCACGATGGCCATGCTTTGAGACAGACTGCTAAAAAGAGTTTGATAGCATAATCCATATCTTTACAGTAACAAGAATTAAAACTTAAAACAGTGAATTGTCTATGGGGGGACTAATTTCATAGAATCACAGAATGGTTTGGGTTGGAAGGGACCTCAAAGCCCATCCAGTGCCACCCCCTGCCATGGGCAGGGACCCCTCCCACCAGCCCAGGTTGCCCAAAGCCTCATCCAGCCTGGCCTTGAACCCCTCCAGGGATGGGGCATCCACAGCTGCTCTGGGCACCCTGGGCCACTGCCTCACCCCCCGCACAGGAAAACATTTCTTCCCCAGATCTCATCTTGGTCTCTCCTCTTTCAGCTTAAACCCATTCCCCCTTGTCCTGTCCCTGCACCCCCTGATCCAGAGCCCCCCCATCTCTCCTGTAGCCCCCTTTCAGCACTGGAAGGTGCTGGAAGGTCTCCCCGGAGCCTTCTCTTCTCCAGGCTGCACACCCCCAACTCTCTCAGCCTGTCCTCAGACAGCAGCTGCTCCAGCCCTTGGACCATCTTCGTATTTCAAATTTCTGCATTTAATCATGTTAAATGTTGGTTGTAAAGGTGGAAGTGAGAAAATGGACACTGCACAGTTACAAAAACATCGCATCTTCAGGTTAATGCTGTGTGATCCTTGACAAGGATGGGCGTTCATTGGCAAATGTCTTTTCGTTGGACCCAGGACTACCAGACCAACGACAACGACCAGGCTGTGGTGGAGATCTGCATCACGCGCATCACCACGGCCATCAGGGAGACGGCGTCCATCGAAAAGCACGGGAAAGCCCTGGTGGCTCTCTGGGAGTCGTGTCTAGAACACAACCTGAAGCCTTCTGGAAAAGATGAGGACACGCCACATGCCAAAATTGCATCCGATATCATGAGCTGTATCTTGCAGGTAGGACTGAAAGCAAGGGAGTGCAATGCATTTGTTGTCTGTTTGGTTTTATTTTTTAAAATGCAGTTGTATTTTATGTTTTTTGAGTGGTTTCATTTGTTTAAAACCAATAATATGACCCCAGTTGTTAATGTATATTGTTACATGCATATGGCATCTGTTGCAGTGAATCGAAAGTTTTGGCAGCTTCCTTATCTTTGGAAGTGTCTTGTCTCTTCACTGCCAGACTTTGTTATCTTAATGCTCCGTTAAATCTAAGTATTTGCATTCCATGTGAGTATTAAAGCAGGAGATGTGGGACTCTCTGTGGTTACACAAAGATTCATTTGAAAGCATTTAGTATCGGGGAAGAGGTTATTCTTTTGAATTGTTCTGGAAGTCAGCAAAATGCCGAAGAGATTTTAATGACATGAAATTTAGGTCGTTAGATACGCTGTCAGTAAGGATCTCCCTTAAATTTGATCGTAAAAGCTGAGTCCGGATACAACACAGAAAAACTGACCTCTGAACTGAAATCCAATTGCCACTGCTCTAAATAGAGGACTAGAAAGAAGTTATGCTCTGGCCGGGAGTGTTGGGATAATTTCTTAGAATATTTTACAAAATGCTGGAGGCAGCAACAACAAGACTGAAAAAGTATTGATGGTCCCAAAAGCATTTACTAGAAGGACAGTGGGACCTAGTTGAACTTGGTAGTCTATGAACTATTGCTCCCTGTGCATGCAAGACTAAAAATAAGACATCTCAGTCTCTATCAGCCTTTTGGAGACAGAAATGGGCCGTTCCAAGGCTTTTTAAGAAAGCAAGCTGAGGGTGAAAGGACATTTCAAGTGGAGAGGGGAAGGGGGAACTGGTATTAAATCAGGGGGAGTTTGGGGGTGTTTTGGTTTTGTTTGTTTGTGGTTTTGTGTTTTTAGCCAGGACTGCAGGCAATATCACCCCTTGTTGGGAGGGGAATATAACACCCTGGAGAGACCCACAGGGAAACCTGTGTGAGCGGTTAACCCGACTAGAAGCAGAAATTGAGGTTGTTCCCAGAGCTTCAGCAGTGGGAACAACTCATGGGCGCCAGCTCCATGTCAGATGGATAAAAATTCAAGCAATAGTGGCACAAGTGTGTCACTGTCCCATGGAAGGTACTGCTTAGCTCCTTGTAGGATGTGTTGTTCCACAGACCTAGTGAGATTCCTTACCTGCTTTGGCTGAAAGTGTCCAAAAGAAATAGAGTTTCAGAAAAAATATCATCAGTGCTGAATTTGCTTCAGTGAAATTTTACTTTACAATGGTCAGTTCCATTTGCCCTGGTCTGTTGCTCTGAAGACGCACCAAAAAAAAAAGTGTGTTATGGTAAAATATTAAAAGAAGGAAAAAACTCCTTTTTGGCAGCCCAGGTTCTTGTTGGTTTTGGTTTGGGAAGCACAAAGGTTTATTCTAGCCAGACATTTGGTCAAGACCGTGGATGAGGCTTTAGCTTCTGCGCTGCCCTGGCATCTCTGAGTCACGAGCCGTAAGCTGCACCCCAGCGCAGGGCACAGCCCCGCGTCCCGTGAAGGTCAGGGGTCTGTCGGGGGTGTCTCCCCTCTGCCTTTCTGTGGATGAGTGGCTTTGGTAGGGACCGTGATTTCTGATGGGAAACGTGTTCCTGGAGGAGTTCCCTGATCTCCCTTTCTGTCTTGAGTCCCTGGAGGCGAGACAGTAACTGGCTTTGGATCCTGAGAGCAGCACAGCTTAAACTTTACAGATGAGATACTTTAGAAATCGTATTTCATGAGAACACTGAAGTATGCAATGGCTCATCTAAGCGTTCAGCTTGTGCTGTTGGCAGCCGTGCCTGAATCGAGCTAGCTCGTATCCAAGTGTCTTAGGGATTGCTTCAAGAAAGGAGTTCATTGAAATGAAATGAGAAAGTTATGAAAGTACATTTACTGCTCCCTGAAACAGAGCTTTTATCAGCAAGTTCCTTTGCATAAAAAAAGAAAAGTCATAAAATGAGTTTTTATAAAAAACGTGAGGGATAGTTGAAGTAGTAATGAACATCTGACAGCTGGGTTGAATCTCCCAGCGTGTTCCTGTTGATATTAGCAGCAGGGAGGTCCCCTAGGTTTGCAAACATCACTATATCATATCGTTGAAATCTGGTTTTCATTGTCACCTTCATGTTTTCATAAGCGTGCATTCATGGCCTGGTGTTTGTAATGGAACAAATGAAACCTTTCTCCTTCTGTCTGCATTCAAACCGTTTGTTAAATAAGTGTTTTATCTTTATTGCAGGCAAAGAAAATATTGTTCTTTGGAATTTTCTTAGATCTTTTCAATCATAGTCAGAAGACCAAACCTTATCTTCCTGTTCTTTCTGCGTGGAGTCCTGGAGTATAACTTGGAGGCAGAATTTGGCTCCTACTCAGCAGTGCCTCGGCCAAATATGACGAAGGCATTATGTTGATTTAAACGTGCTGCTGCATAACGCTCCCTTCATTTTAAGGGCTTTGCTCATTAAAAGAGTGGTTCTGGGTCCTATGACAGTTACCACGATGAGCCATCTTGACACCTCGGAGTTCCTGCACCCCTTCTTCCATCGGGGCTGCAGCACCCCACTGCTTGGCAGCTCTGTGCTGCAGGGAAAAATCCTCGTAGCCGGTTAAACGTGGCTCTTTGACATGTGTTGAGTAGCACAATGCAGCCTTCATAGGGTGAGTCCTGCTCTCCGTGGGGCTAATGGCAAAGGCAGTCACCGCGACAGGGGCAGAGCCGGCCTACGAGGACATGTAGCAAGGCACGTGGAACAATAGATTTGCTTTTTCTCAAGTCTAAATTTAATTTTTTCAGTGCTGCTCCACAATAAGCATGCGTTAAGCCTGGGCTGCCTTTATTTGCATGGTTTTGTTGCTTTCAGAAACATCTGGGTTCCAGTGGCTGCCTGCGATTTCAGATGCTAATTAAATATAATCATATTGCAGGATGATTTTAAAAACCAGTGATGTACTCCCATTTCAAAGAGATGCTCACGACTGAGTGGAGATGAAGGAGGCTCCAGGAAGGATGTCGTTCCTCAGTCACACGTAGACGTATCCTACTGGTTTCAAGGGCAGTTACATAGGGGAACTTAATAGATGTGTATAGTCTGCATGCACAATTTCAGGTGTACAAATAGTTGCAAAAAGCTGAATGTCAAAACTCAAGCATATGTGCAGGTCCCCCGGAGATCGCTGAAGCTTGGTGCTGTTTTGAGGACGTACGTTAGACGCCTTGAGAAATTTCACTTGACTCCAATGTTCGGAGAAATTGACTGGACTTTAAGAAATCTAAATTATTATTAGAGGAAAATTCATTATCAATACTAAAACTATTACCCTGTGAACAAATCTCCCAGTGCACTTATCCATGTGTACTCTTTCCTCATTTGACCAGTTTGCCTTTGATTTAGTTGCAGGGGCTTAGCATGAGAAAGGCAGCGATGTCTCTCTTACAGCAGTTAAATGTTAGCTAGTGCACTTAATATCATGTTTTTTCCTCTTGCAGAAGACAAAAATAGGTGTGTTATTAACATCTCCTGGTGCAGCAGTTTTAAATTTCCTTACTCACTCTTTCTTTGAAGCCTGCCTTCAGTGGTGTTACCAAAACATAACCTTTCTTGACGTGTTTTGCTTTTTTTTTCCCCGTTGTTTTGATTTTGTTTTTCTACTCTGATTAGCATGAGACTTCATTTTAATCATTTCTGTCAGATGCTTATTTTTCAGTGCTTTTTCATGTTTTTACAGAATTACAATCGACCTCCAGTAATGGCCTTAGCTGTCCCAGTGGCAGTGAAGTTTCTGCAGAGGGGCAATAAGGAGCTGTGCAGAAACATGTCGAGTTACCTGTCCTTGGCTGCGATCGCTAAAGCAGATCTGCTGGCTGATCACACAGACACCATTGTCAAAAGTGTCCTTCAAGGTAGGAACACGCTGAGACACTTGGGTTTAGTCTTGCAGCATGCCTGCCATTAGATTAGTGAGGCTGCAGTGGGCGTATGTACAAACATACACATCAACATGTTATATGTAAAAAACATGTATGAGGCACGTGTATAGAGAATGATAGAATAGAATCACAGGATGGGTTGGGTTGGAAGGGACTCAAAGACCACCCAGTGCCAGCCCCTGCCA